CTACCAATCATGATACAACCACACAAGAAATCATTCCACTTACTGAAACAAAGCCAGCACTTCACACACCCCCAGAAAGATTTATAGAGAGACGGCAGCTCCGATCACGCTTTACTCGCACAAGCACGAAGCCGAAAACACCAGCCTGAAGATGGCGAGTGAGACCTCGCTGAAACGTTGCCAAGACAATCTCAATCTTACATGGGAAAAGACCTGAATACAACAAGACCAACATACCTACACCCATGAAAATCTACGAACACACAGACACACAGACACAGACACACACACACATTTTTACATGCTTTCAAACTGCTAGGTTGGCAGAAGCTGAGACATTACATGGCGCTAAGGATTTGAACTATCAAACTTCCGACCTTTCTGATTGACAAGTTCAGCCTCTTAGCCACTGAGCTACCCCATCTCTTATATTGATGTATATTGACTGCAAATACATAGTTTTGTTAGCAATTCTTTCCTCAAAAGAAACAGCTCTCTCTTCATCTTGCAAGTCTGAATGAAACTGTATAGGAAAACAAATGAAGTCTGATCAAAACCTGACACGATATGTTTTGCAAAAGAAGAAAGCGTTGCTACTGTGTTCTATTGCACATTAGTTTAAGATAAGAATTTCTGAATGGCTTCTTTTAATATTTGCATAGAATACCCTTCAATGGTATAAGATAAACACATAAAGAATAAAGAGCTTAATAAGGGTCTTAATGAAATGTTTGTCCCTTTTTTCACTGTGATATATTTATAGTAGCTTAAAAACAGGGGAAAATGGGAAGAAATATTCCGTTTTCAATTTGTATGTAATTGATTTCTTTTATGGTTCTTTTGTGTCTGTTTTTTTTTAAAAAAAGAATAGTTAAGCTGATGGTTGATAGATTAATCAGCAGTTGTTTGGCAATGAATCTGTCCCTTCATATTCAGGTGCAAGAGTATATAATTATTGCTTGAAACAAGGATAGAAATTGACAATTAACTTCCTATTCTATTTCTGTGTTTCTATAGCAGCCTCCTCAGTCTAATGCCCTCTAGTTATATTGGAATCACAACTCCCCAAATTATCAACTCTACAAAACAAAACATGTTGGTTTGCTTCAGCAGGGATTTTTTTACATTTCTTCCTTGGTTCATTCCACAAGTCCAGGATCAGAATAATTAAGATTTATCCAAAAAGAATATAGCAAAACAGTCTTATATTAAATCTGGGAGGGCTCAGTAGCTTAATGATGCTGGAGATGGTCTCTGCTGAAGCAGTTAGAGTCTTAGTACTGTGGAACAGGATGAGCACCATCACTTGCCTCAGCTTCTGCCCACCTAACAGTTTGAAAGCATGTTCTATGCAGTGACGTGCGGTGAGGTTCACCGCCGGTGAGGCAAGCGGGCAGGATTTCGGCTCCCCCCCACCAGCTGGAATAGTGTGCGCGTACACGCCATCCACCCCCTCACCCCAGCTGCATCTGAGGAGAGGGGGGAAAGCCAAGCAAAGCCCCCCCTTCCCACTCAAAGCCCCCTTAAAGCAGAGAACAAGCCCGCTCTATGGCGGACAGACGCGCTGGCACTTTAAAGTGCCAGCGTGCCTCCCGGCCACAAACCAGGACATGTTTCGCTCTATGGCGGGCTGAGGCAGCATGGCTTTAAAAAATAAAAAAATAAAAAATAAAAATAAATGTGCCAGCCCGCGCACCAGCAGAGGCGGGTAAACACACACACACACACATAATAAAAAACAAATTACAATTACTTACATTACAAATAATTTTGAATCCCCCCTCCCTCCGTCCGATCCACATACCTTTTCCAGGTGTGGATTTCTACTCCCCTCTTGTCCACCCACCATGATGAAAGTGTAAAAAATTAAATAAAAAAGCAACTTACTTAGGCAAGGCTGCCAAGGCATGGAGCACCAGTTTGTCTTCCGACCGAAGAGGTACCTTTGTACC